AACTATATGGTCATATTGTTCTCATCATATTATGAAAAGGCTTTTCATTATAACAGTAATTAAGTAACTGTTACATAGAATTCTACGTTATGTTATCTCCCAAACCTTATATTTATTGCCAAGGTAGACAACAGCGGTATTTTTTTTAACTTTCAGAGCAACTTCCATCTGGAATTAGTGGGAGTAAGAGAAGCTGGAGTACACACTCCCTGCTAATGTCGGTCACGCCTCTCATTACTGTCGCTATTTGCAGCAGAGTGTAACGTTGGCGGTTTAATCAAGTCTAAGACAGAAATTATGAGGAAATCGAAAGGACAACCCTTGCGAGTGAGATAACACACATCGCAGGATTACAATATTTTAGTCGGAACTATTGCGCATATCGTCCAAACTTTACGCTCTCTGGTTTTTAATGACATATATGATAGTAGGCCCAGTTGGTGTTATGGATCTATACACCATTGCACGGCGCCATCATAAAAGTAACACTGCTTCACAACAAATTGACATTAAAGAATCCTAAATCGTCAGGTTGTGCGTTATAGTGCATACCTAGAACGTTGTTATCACAACAGCGATACCGTGCATATCGGGTATGTGTACAAGCTTTCTTATTTTCAAAACTTCTGCCTGTTCTAAGACAGAATATTCGTAATTCATTTTAAGATTTCGGTTTCATCATTTACACAGAATATAAGGTTAAAAATACATGTTGCAGTGGTTATGTAACTGTAACGTATATATCAACTTAGATATTGCATTCATACAGCTTTAGTAAATCATTTTAAGTAAAATCAAATAAAATGAGGACAACAATTCTCACCAAATAATAGTCGGTTTGATCAGTTAAAACAACCATTGTTCTAGAAGTTTGTGTACAAAAATTTAATCACATATATGTATACAAATGGTTTGTCAACAAAATGCACATACCTTGTTCACTTTTTGGTTGACGTCAAGGTGAGTTGTGAATGGCATATCACAGAACACTGTTATTGGACCCAAGGATACGGTGGCGCCATCTATGAAGTGGAGCTCAACGTCCGCTATGGCGTCCACGGTGTTCCACGTCACCCACAACAACAACCTGTCCAGTGTGAATGCATATATTTCATTAACAAAATGCATTAAATGTGTTTGTTTCTGTGCACTGACCATAGTTCTAGGTCACGCCTTACTAAAGAGTTCGTAACTAATTTGGGAGGAAAATTTTGGAAATTGGCTTCCTTTCGCAAAGAAGGAACCAATGCATCAAGTGTTTTAAACCCAAAAGTACTATATGTAAGATGTTTAATTACAGGGCCGTAGCCTCCGGGGGGGCAGGGGGGGGGGAGGTGCCCCCCCTGGGATTTAGAATTTTCCGCACTGGTAGGGGGGCACCCCCTCCCCCCTCGGGGGCTTCGCCCCCTCGTGTTCGCTTACTGCCCCCCCCCCCTGGCATTTTGCTCAGGCTACGGCCCTGAATTATAACGTCAAATTGTGTGATCGAAATGATGAAATTAATGCCATTGATACATGAATATCAGGCATGCTTGCTTTAAACAATAAATGTTTGCAAATTAATCACTTTTCTATTTCCCGATATATATAAACATTGATAGTTACATGTACATTTAATCAACAACAATTAGACATATCTTGGGAATGTAGTCTTGTAAAACGATTTACCCTCTCTTTCCTTCTCTCCGACATCACACATATACAGGTATAACCTACCTAGTGGGAATAACCGGTACACTAAAGCCGACGTCTATGAAGCAATCCATATCACAGAAATCCTGCTCAGAGAACCAAATACCTTGACTAGGAGTGCACCTGTCAGCATCTGGGGCTCCTGTGAGAACATGTTTGTTTAGAAAAAAAATATTAACCGTCTGCTTGATACATTTATATTTTGAAAAAGTGCGAACACTCAGAAATTTTAATTGATTTTAATCAATAATCATTCATTTCCCACACTATTTTGTCCCAAGGCAGTTACCATGATGGCAACGGGTTTGTTTGTTCGCTGGTCAAAATCAAAGCACGGTTTGTTGGTCTTCGATCATAATTGAGAAAAATCGATTAAAACGCTCGTTAACCCACCCAAAACTTCGTCCGGTGTGACCATGACAGTCAAATTCCCAGGGTTGGAAGAGGTCGCAGAGGTGGCGTACTGGCCCAGAGAGTCGTCCTGGTGACACAAGGAACAGTACTGACTCACATCGTCCCCGTTCTGGGTGTTGAGAGGAGGAATCCATGCCAAAGTCACCGTGTCTGCGGCAGTGTTTAGTATCTGGAGTAGAAATCTAGACAAATGTCAAATGTTCTTATTGTGATTTCAGTACACAATGATCAGTTATTTACCTTTGCATTACTGATTTTGAATGGGCAAATTCCTCAGTTTGTATAAGTTTGCAGTTGAAACCTTTTTCGATGGTGAAAAAAATTCAAGTAATTTTCAGTATTTCAAGAGTTTCGAGTTTCATGTTTGAATGCTAGCATGACAGGTCCATCTCCGCAGAGTCTGTTGTGTTTACGTTTTGGTCAAACAACGGACATATTTTGTCCAGTTCCGACTTACCCTTGGTGCAATTGGTATTGGTGAAGGTTCCCTCCCAGTCATCCAGGTCCCGTACCTCAGATCGGCGTAACAGTGAAGACGGGCCACCTGCTGAGGAGTGAAATGATCCGTACAATTGTCTCCCTCTATAAAACACAAAGACAAAGTAAAGAAATTGATAGATCGAACGTTGGACAATAAACAAGTCGAAAAATGATCACGTGTCCACGTGGTTCAATAACTTTAAGACCCAAGCCAAAAGTCGAATGTTCAAGTTAGATATCAACATAACGAACAGCCATTTGGTGTATTTTGAGTATTTTGACATGTAATTCGACAGTTGCCCGATATTTCTGAAGCAAACCTATATTCCAACCATTTTCTCATTGTTTCGGGTCTCCTGTTTATTCCAGACTCAGCGACAAGTTGCCATGCCATACAAAGTTTCATATACCTGCGTAACTCATGTAGTTTCGGTACGGCGTGTTTTTGTAAACTGTCCCTGAGCACGTAACTTCATCCGGGTCTCGGCATTTGGAATTCATCGGAGTCGGGTTTGTATCTGAACACAAATCCCCGAGCTCCAAAGAAGGGCGTGACTCGGCGCATTGGTCATCACATCGGAGGTCAGAGACACCATGATGCACGTGAAGGAGACCCAGGACGTGTCCTACCTCGTGGACTAAGGTAGACATAAAGCCTGGACGTCCATACCGGCTAGCATCGATAACGACTCCCCCTAAAACACAGAACGTGGGCATAAAAACGTGTACAAAGGGACACATTCGACGACCTGGAAGCGTTTGAATCTGCAATTCAGTAAGGAAGACATTATTTTCCATTATGTTCCACTCACATTATAATTTCTTTTCTTCTACATTACGTCTTCTCGTATTTTCAAACATGTCTCAATGTCTTTTAGAGGCAAACGCATTTGACTTACTATCCAATTATAACATTATTAATTACCTCCGCCCAGGAGGTCGTGTTTTGTTTGTTAGTTCGCCACCAATTTAACTCAAAAAGTTACGGACGGATTTTGATGAAATTTTTAGGATATGTCGGCATGGGCTAACTTTAAAAGGATTATATTTTGGTGTTGGTTCAATGATAAGTAATGGTTAATTATTAGTTAATTGTTTGTCTTGGCGATGTCTGCGTTCTCCAGGTGCTTTTCTAGTTTTGCTTATTTTCATCGATGAATCAACCTAGTACAGAAACGTGCCAATTCACTTGTACAAGTAAAATGTTACTTCAAAAACATTTTAGCGCCAATCGTATATATGCTTGACTTGTTCTTAAAAGGCCTTACTTAAAGCCCTAACAACATGTGCTAACCTTTACTTCCAAAGACATCATACTAGTGCCTGCCAATACGTGCTTACAGAATTGTTCCCATAAAACCTCACCCAAAAGCACTGGCAGCCCTTATACCCGTACCTTGTTCTTCTAAAGCCCCTTTCTCCCAGGGGTATGTGGCCTGTCCAAGGATACTGGCTGCAATCAACTCTGGGACGAACACGTTCAAGTGTGATTTGCTGGATATATTTAACATGGATTTGTATTCAGACAAGGTCAGGTAGGTTCTGGAAGAAATACAATTTTATGATAGTCCTATAGTACCTCTGATATGATCTGATTAATTTCATACAAAGACTCTTTTGCTGTGACTCGAAAAGGTGAAATACGTAGTTTTTGAATTTGTTTTATCTGGAAATAAGATTGACGATTTTTATCTACTTTCCATGTTGATCAAATTTCAAGGGCAAGTCTCTCAATCTAACGCCAAAATCTATACAGACACCTTCAAAAGTTTATTTTCACGCCGTCATACGTTATGGAACGCCGTTATAAGGTGGAAGCTTCAAACCTTGAACGAGATGGACTAAGACACGTTTTGTTCTCACCTGTGTGGCGACTCGGGGTCTATGCAATGTCCTCTATCACCGGTCTCACAGCAGTCACCTCCGTCCCAGCCATAGCGGTACTGGTTACAGTTCAGGTCACAATAATGGTTCCCTTTGTAAAAAATAATGAATTAGATTTGAAAACTGCCATGAATGTTTCATCCTAAAGAAAACGTTATAAGAATCGCACAATTTTAAATCTAATTCTACATATATAGGTGTGTGTGTGTGTGTGTGTGTGTGTGTGTGTGTGTGTGTGTACTTTGTATGGGCATCAGCCGTGATAGCTTAAAACGAGGCTGTATTGAAGCCATGCCGTCAAACGTGCGAGAATCCGAGCGAGGTGGGGTTAACTTTTTAGCGATGAGTGTGAAATTCTATGCACTGAAAATATCCGGTTGTCATCTTTAAAAGCAAAACAAAAGTGATACACAAAACACAGCGAAGTTGTATTCCTGTAATAGTCAGTAATTAAACAATTATTAAGAAAAACCAAGCAGAGAAATAAGCCCCTACCCATTGATGCATTCTGTCAGTTTTTTGTTTGTTTGTTTGTTTTTTTCGTTTTGCACCACGCTTAATTCTGCGAAATCTCGCTTGATACTTCGGCTATCTCGGATGATCTAAATTTCATCAATCTGAAACAAAAGTACACATGTTTTGTGTCATTGTTATTCACAAAATTAAATTACCTATTTGTTCTTGGTCACACGGCAAAGACAAACAATCCCCTCCGTCGTAGCCTGTCGTGGTGAAGTTACAGTTACGATCACATTTATTGTCCCCAATTTTCGCTGGATCGCACTCTCTTAAGACTTTTCTCTTTCTCATCGAACTGCTTTTTACTACTTTTACCTCATACGTCCATGAAATGTCATAACGTAGAAATGCATCTTGTAACATTGCATGTTGTTCGAGTATCTGAGAAGAGGACACGGATGGGTTTGTGCCATCATCATCGTAAACGTTGATTAAACGGTATCGAAGTTCTTTCGGTGCGCGCAGTTCTGGGTGCGCTACGTAACTCCGGACTACATCTGGGTCATCGCAGACCGTTCGGCCACAAGGCGGCGTTGTCAGTGCCATGTCGAACCGGTGATCATCAATGGTGGAATATACCCTGAGTGGTTCGTTGTGGCCGTCTTCTAGTTCCCATCCTGTAAGGGTGTTGAAGTTGGACGATATAACGAGGTTTTGGTGTCGTGCGGTTGTCTTTCCCTCAAACATTTGACGAACTATTTCGCTGTGATGCAGCCCTTTTCTCCAGAGGCGTATTTCGTCTAATGATCCTCGGAAATATCGCTTCGCAATAGCGTCTCCGCCAATTTCAAATTGTTTGCAGCGATGATATGGTTCACTGAAAATATCCCCTCTTTGAGTTGTATCAGTAGCCACTTTGGCGCCATCTAGATAAAATTTCATTTTATGGTTGGCATAAACAGCAGCAACATGGACCCACTTCTCGGGAATATAATTTCTGGACGATGTTAATAATGTGCCTTTGCGAGATCGCTCGGTATAAAGCGAGAAGAAGATGCGCGCATCTTTCCTTTCGTTTTTCCGCGTAGCTTTTATCCCTATTTGCCAGGTTCCTGGGTGTCGTTGACCAGTTTCTGTGACACAGGTATCAAACACGCCTGTCAAAAGAAAAGTTTTTAAATAAAATATGTGTGCCGGTTAGAAGGACAACAACTCTTCATCTTCATTAGTTATGACACAATCATAGGAAGATAGAACATAAATTCAATAAAACCCAATGTCGGTTCTTCAAAAGTATTGATCATTACTAATTATTATTAGTAAGTACACATTTTCCAGACATTTTCCTTTCGCTGCTCGGATATGGTCAAAATTCACACCGTTCACACAACTGAACATTCTTATATTCGACCCAGAAACTTTCAAAACCCACACCGCTCAAATAATTGAATATTCTTCTGTTCAATCCAGAAACTTTCGTACCACGTACACGTAACGCTGCTGGGACTCTCGCCAAATTCAGTCATATTAACACGCCTCCTCTTGTTTCCAACACATCCGTATAATCTTTTTATCTGACTGCATTCAGCGAGAGTACCCCCGGACTTAGTTCGTACTACTTTGCGCGATAATTTATTTGTGAAGGCACCTTAATTTTTGAAATCAGGCAATAATAAGACATGTAGAAAAATCGTCTTTGATAGCCTCTCTCAGTAAATTGTAAAAATAATTAAGTGAAATAGAATTATTTAAAAAAAAAGAGAGTATTACAAAAACAGAAATAACAATAACAGAAACCAGTTTATGAACTTGGACAGAAGTGTCATTAATTGAGAAAAATAGTCACTGGTGCATGACTAAGCTCTTTTCGTTCATCAGAGCAGTAACTTTAGAGATGAGAATTTACAAAAGAGGTGGAAGGACATCATCGTAATTGCTTGAACGAAATTGAGCTCTAAATCGAAAGTTGCGTTGATATTGTACAATCGTGACGCCAGGGGTATGCTACGTATTATAAGTATGCGATCATCTGGTAACGCTGAAGTCGTGTGATTTAATGTTATCGCCGCACTTGGCCAAGTTTTGTTCAAATTATCTGCAGTTACCTGACCGCTATTGTACGCGTGCTTGTGAGTTTGGATTGTGGCCAATGTCTGGTGGTGTTTGGTGTGAAACAGGTGCTGTACCGGACGACCTATATGTTACTGGTTAAGAAAGAAGGAGGAAGCGCGGCAGATTTGTTTAGATAACATATAGGAACAGTAATGCTTTGTAAATAGAGACATGAAAAAATGTTAGCGTGTTTTTCAAATATGATCGGAGCTTTTCAACAAAAAGGGAAATGGTGACTATATATTGTAATTTCATTATTTTTTCAAGAGTACTGATTAACTTTTAAACCTGCTCTCTCTCGCTCTCTCCCTCTCTCTCTCTCTCACTCTCTCTAGAACACATATCCCCTCAGCTAGACTTTCCTGTACAGATTATAAAGAGGCAGACAGACTTCTGTAACATTAAGGCCAATTTCAACATCCATATATTAGTTCGACTACTCTACAAAAATACATATCCATAAAATGTTTCAAAAATGGTCCCAGAATCACGCCACTTCCCCGGCCTATCACATCACGGAGTTGTTAATAAACCTCCAGCAGACATCGGGCTAGCTGTAATAAAAATCAAACATCCTCAGGAACTTGAATGCTAAGATTTATCTACGGGGAGCAAGAATTGCTGCAGGCTTCCATTCAAAACCGCAGTTTATCCGTAAATCAGGATACGCTCGCGGTAGACACGGAGTAAGAATAAGAGTAGATATCGTGAGAGAAAAGCACTTTTAACTCATTCACATTTTTTATTTGGCATTTATGGATAAAATGATTTATTTATCTTTTTCGCTGCTTTCTAATTAAGTAATTTATCAATTTGTGATTTTCTTCTTCTTCTTCTTACCTCTTTCAATACGTTGCGCAGAACATCATTTCATCAAGGCTTCCATCTTTATATTGGAAGAATTTTAATCAATAATCTTATTTATCGGAAAATAAGTAGAAATAATGCTTTATTCACATTTATGAGTATCATTATTTTATTGAATATAATTTATATTTGTCTGATACATTCATAAAAACTAAATTAAACTAAATCAATGTTGGAGGGATCAAACGTACCTGTGCGTTTAAGTCAAGCAAGTCCAGGAGACTTTTAGTAAAGATAGTAACAAAGCGCTCTTGCGATAAATGGCAGTACTGATATTACAATCCCGCTACGCATTTTTCTAAAGAATTTAGGTGCCGTTTTAAATTGCCCTTGTTTACTTTGCAAGTCAGAATTGTTGGATAACTTCCTTCGTGCCTTTGGCAAAAGTCTTGTCCTCTCCCGCCACACCCACTACCTCCTTGTGTGTACCGTTTAAGCGCTGTTCCCTTTTCGGTTATTTCAAAACGAGATGATGACTACTTTTAACCAGAAAATATTGAGACCAAAGAGCGCGGATTCAAAAGTATTAAGTTATCAGAGTTTTAACCTAGGGATATTTGAACCATTGACCGGATAGTATTATTTTCCTAAGTGCGTTACACTTGATTTAATTCTTGTGTGTGGGATCGACTGAGACGAAAGCATTTCTCTCGCCTCCTCTCTCACTCTCTCTTTCTCTCTCTTTTTCTGCGCCCGCGTCTAACGCTTTGTAATGAATAGGGGTGGAGAAGACCCCTGGGATCCCCATATTCGCTTTCAAAACGCCCAGACAATAAGCGTATTCATTTTTCCTTTTTTTTTCAAAATTTTGAGGTATCGTTCATTTCCCATCGATTCTTATAAGGTTGGCTCGAGGTATATCCTTTGATTGAATAACACTTACGCGAGTATATAATTAACATCTACAAATGTGAAAAAGATGTAAAAATAAGCAGTGCCAAATTGAGTTGGCAGTTCCGATCAAAGTCCGCATTTATTACTCGTTTCTTTTCAATTCTGTTGAGTTGCAAGGTTCAACACGCCCTAAGATGGACTCGTGTATGTTTATGTTTGGACACAAACTGAGAACAGACTTAGAATTTCATTCACTGTGTATGGTGTCAGCATGGAACAAAGTCCACCTGATTTTTTAAAGGCATTACATGTTACATGTGCTTCATGAACAAGTCACACATGTATCCTTACAAAGAGAGGTTGATTTTGTTAAATCGGAAGAAAAAGCAATCAGAAAGAAATGGGGAGTGTGTGAAGTTGATAGAAAATACCAGAGATGAACGAACCAAAGATCATATACCTCATAATTCTCTCTCTCTCTCTCTCTCTCTCTCTCTCTCTCTCTGTGTGTGTGTGTGTGTGTGTGAGTTTGTGTGTGTGTGTGTGTGTGTGAGTTTGTGTGTGTGTGTGTGTGTGTGTGTGTGTGTAGGAATATCACTGCTTTGCCATACAGACAGTTCTGCTCGAGCAGATCACTGAGCAGCAAGTTCCGCGTGTTTACCGACCATCCCACGCGGTTAAATCGGCAATTACTCTGATTACTACATCCTCAGGACACGTAAACAAGTGGTCGTTTATCAGCGCCCTGTACAACTTCAGCAATCCTTTCACGTGCCTTGCACTTATAAAGTTCTACGACCATTTGGCCAATGTGTAAATAAGAATAAAAATGTAGCATAGAGCCTCAGGATTTATAAAGGCTCTTTTTTGATAAATGTCAATTCCATACATTTGATTCTTGTTCTTAGTTTTATAAACCATGGTATTCGACGGCTCAAATAAATTTCTTTCAAAATCTAGCTAATTTGCCCTTGTGTCAAGCCCTTCCAATCATGATATACATATTCCCCCATAAAGAGATTATTTGTCCAAATAACAGACAGACAGACAGCGCAGACAGACGAGAAAACTCAACATATCGTACTCGCAATCTGTCGGGAGTGATTTTTGTCCTGAGGGTGGAGATGGAAGGGCGGCAATAGGAGAAAGAAAAGTGCCTTGTTTATAACTAAGTGAAAAACGTTTAGTAATGCAGGGATTAACAAAAACATGTATTTTGACGCTGGGCCAAACATCGAGCAATGTACAAACAGCACTAGTTCACATGCGAATACCTAACGACTGGTTACATGTTAACAGGTTTAGATGAAAAATACAAAGAAAACAAAACAGCAAATTCTTAACCACAAAACTAAAATGATCATAGATATATGGTTTTGCTTAAATAAATGGTGTGTGTGTATATAACAATTAAATCGAATTTGAAGAGAAAATGTTATTCGTGAAAAATCAAATTTCACCTCGAAAGATGCAGTCTACAATTCCTTTTTTGGAAATTCGCGGAAAAAAACAATAACAGAGCTAATGCAATCATCGTATATTGCACGCACCCAACGGAACGCAGTAACTATTTTATGAAACTGGCATTGAGCGACTTTAGCCAGACAATAAACTATCAACAGGATCTTACACGTATGTTTTGACTTTTCTGAACCAGTTTGTACATTTACACATTTTTCTTGCGATATGTCGGGGTATGTTCTGTTTTATGTCGAATTAAACGCATTTTCTATTTAAATGATTTGCACAGGGTTGGACATGTTATTCAGGAGAAATTGTTTTAAAAATACCGTTGAACGGGCAACCCTTATTGCAAACTGATCGCAAAATTGATAAAATCACATTTCTACTAATAATCTAGTTAGTTAATTCAGACAACTTTTTTCAGTAAGTGCAACAATATGATAACGATTTTGCGAGGAATGTGGGCGTTTTTCAACAGAGTTGTGTAAATATGACAGTAAAAAGCTGTGAACGCGACCCGACAAAAGGGCACTAAAATGGTCCCCAGCTCTTTAAGATAAAGTATTACAAATTACTCTGAAAAGATAGAGACACACTCAATGGAGCACTGGTATGTACAGACTTATATCAAATTGTTTTAAAAACGGAATGAAAAAAAGGTGAGTTCTCGTTCGCAAAACAAAGGGGTGCGTAAAACCAAACACCCTCTTGATAATTTTGCGCTTTCAAAATTAAAAGGCAATTTTCATTCTAAAGTAACTTCCACAAAATGTGACAGTTGAATATGATAGACGAGTCAACAGACGTAGCCAACTATCACCCAATCAAGTAAGGAGACGGACCGTACAATTTCAAAAATGGAAAATTTAGATAATAGGGGTAATCATATTTGTTTCTCTCACAATATGGTAGTCTAGCTTCAAAATAAACAAGGCAGCAAAGCTGTCAAATGTACAGACCAAAAACAGGAAATAACTATGCACAAAATAGGCTACTGTCAATTCTGATGCAAAAATACATTATGTTAAACTGCAAATTCAACATCAACAGCATGGGTTTATTTCCATTTTTAACAATTTTTAACATAAAACAAAATTAACAGTTTACTGCCATTTTTATATGACCAACTAAGAAAATTGATGAGATGGGAAAAATATCAATAGAGCAGTGTTTAATGTCCAATTTCTTCCATTCTGAGATTCTGAACATAGTGAATGATTCAGTCTGACAAACTACAATGATATGAGTTTATTTCCATTTTTGAAACTTTATTACACAATATACAATAACAAGTTTAAAATCATTTTTACAAAATCAACTAACAATGTTGTAAAGATGCAGGAAATGTCAAAAAAACACTTTTACATATCTTATTAATTAAATAATGAAACTGTTAACATGCCTAAGAATTGAATCTAAGGAAATGTAAAGAACAGCATAACTTCTAAAATAATGGCCCGATTATGCTGATTTTTTAACTTAACCTGCATTTTAGCAGGAATGACCACTCCTGTGAGTTTAATGACAATTGGCCTATCTGTTTTTCTTATATTGTGTTTACAGTGTTGCATATATGCTGAAAAGTGAAAAAAAAGCATAACTACTAAAATAGTGGCCCGATCATGCCGATTTTCGAACTTGACCTGCGTTTTAGTAAGATCAATTTTTCCTGTGAGTTTCATGACAACAGGCCTATCGGTTTTTGTTGAAATGTGTTTACAGTGTTGCATATATGCTGAAAAGTGAAAAAACAGCATAACTTCTACAATAATGGCCCGATCATGCTGATTTTCGAACTTGACCTGCATTTTATGAATATTCATCAGCTCTGTAAATATAAAGCCAAAAAGTAAAACTGTCTTCCACTTATCGTGTTTACAAGGAAAGTGCACGGCGACGACGGCGACGGCGACGACGGCGACGGCGACGACAGACGCAGGTGATGGCAATATGTACAGACACATCTGTGTCTGTACATAAAAAGGCAACCTCACATACCACAGATACAACAATTGTGGGCCGAAAGGAGGGAAATGAATTCGCATTTTTTTCGTGATTTTAGATAGATAGTTTTTATTGCAATCAAATATACCGCTGTCGTGGTAGTTAATTACAATGTATTCAGGGGCGGACCCAGGATTATTTGAAGGGGGAGTCCGCGGATGCAAAGCAGACCCCTCCCCCTTGGCGTGGGGTTCGGGGCTCGCTGAAGGGCCCAAAAAACTTTTGGTAATTTAGAGGGCGAACGATGCCATTTGGTAAGGTTTGGAACTACGATTCAGATGGTCAAAATTCTAATTTCAAGGGCGGACAATCGGTGTAATTTTTTCAGAAATGGAAGGGGGAGTCAGGACCCCCCTGACACCCCAATAACTCCGCCACTGGTATTACAGAGAAATACCAGTACAATATAATACGATAGGAGATAGACTGTGATGATATAACGTAAGAAATTACTTATATGTAAGTAATTATGCAGCAATATGATAATGTACATATACACATGTATAGCATGATGAATGCACACAACATACTTGCAGTACAAAACCACATACCACATACTGTTACATTTGCGTATACATTGTAAATTCTTAATGAAACGAGCAGATTAAAAATGTGACAAATGCAATTATATTTTCACTCACCGACAATGGGGACCTCGTCCAGTTGGCCGCCCTCGGGTTTCAGCCAAAATTCCACCGTAAAATCGTTCTTTGGAATCTCGAACGCAACATTCCGACCGCTGGGCTTCAATCGCAAAACTTGGGCGTCCCCGGTAAATAACAGCGCGTGTCCATACTTTCCTCCCCTGGCTGTGCTCGACCCGCGTCCCGATCCGTCCACGTGGCGGCGATGTCTCCCCAAGGACTGGTGACTCAGGTACTCGTCGGCTGATTCGTGGACCTCCCTGGAGTGACGGTGGTGGGAGGTGGGGTGGACCTGCAGATCCCGAGAGACATCCGACCGACGGTGGGAAGCGCCACCAAGACGTCTCATATCTCGCCTATGCTGCGTCGCTGCCAGCCAAGCGGCTCGGGCACGTTCTCCATACCTCCTGTGATAGTCCTCCACACTGCCGCCTTCACATGGTGGTATTTTGACAGTTACTAACAATAACACGGTAAATATCAAACTGTATTTCAATAACACCAAAGAACAAACCGAGGAGGTCATCATTGTAGATGCCTCCCGTCTTTCTTGAACCCCTAGAAATTGAAAGGAAGATTCCGTCCCTAGTGAAGTTGAACGTCTCAATGATGAACTTAAATGGCGAGAACTTGGCTTTATGTTGTGGTTTGCCAGAGAAATGACCTTTCCCCCACTCATGCTTGTTCCATAACCTGTCTACGATTCAAAACTTGTCCCGGTTGTCAACAAAAGCGTCTGCTCGCACTCGGGTGAGAGTTGAAAAGGCACGTCCCACCGCCGCAGGGTTAGAGGTCGGGCATCGTGCGTAAGCTTCATTCAGAGGAAGTTGAGGCACGCAGAGCAATTACACTTAACTCCTCCTCTTGGCCTCATAAGTAATCTGTCAGTTGGTTTGCCCATGTAGATTATCAGTGATCATTTGTTGATGGAAAAGATTGCTCTTTCAGATGGGTTTGGAAACATCCCGATTTAAAGAGTGCCATTGTCGCCTTTTAGTTTCCTTTTGAAAAAGTGCGGGAGAGGCAGAAACTCCACCCCCTCCCTGCTCTCTGGGTTCATCTTCCTATTTCAGAAGGTTCATCGGTCAAAAGTTTCTTTATCAAGTTATTAGTCACCGATAAATCTGCTACTTTATTTATTTTCATTAAGCGTGTGGAGTACAGATGCACGTGTGTACCTCGTCACATGGGGTCATAGAACAAACTTTTTTCTGGGAGAAAGAGGAAGTACGTGCCGACGCAGAAAAAACATAAAATGGATAAAATGGATATTCTGTCCTTGTCGTCTTTTGTGCGTGTATGTGTTATCAAAGGTGGGTTGTGTCATGATTGACGACAAGAGGGGATATATCCTTGAAGCATATTGGGCATTTCAATGTGTGTGTGTGTGTGTGTGTGTGTGTGAGGGCTAATTCCCATTGAAACCATGGGTCTACGTAGCTTGTGCAAAGAGAGCAAATGAAAATATGAAAAAATAATAAAATGTGGAACCAGTTAGTGGAAATTATTTTTAAAAAAAATAAAGTAAAAATATTGATAGTTTTGAGCCAAGAACTGGAGCGCGGGAGGAACGCAAATACATTCGAATCTCGTACATAATTTTGAAGAAGTAACATTTACAAATGACATTTTGATCTTTTTTCAATTTCTTTCTATTCACTGCACTTTATTGTATTCTGCACAGTTCTGATCAGACCTATAGGCCTACTCGTGCCAGCTTCCTCGGATAGTGATATGCGTAACATGTGCACCAATTATTCTTTCTAAGCGAGAAAATAATGAGCCGTCTGACTGCATTCATAAGCTTACCGTGTAGTAGTTATTGAACCACTCGCCGCCTGGCTGTTGGTGTAAGTTGATTTGGCGGGTTAAAGTCTCCCTGTTCCCGTTTTCATCGCTCTGCGTACCACAGTGTACACGTGTGTGCGAGTGAGTGATATTGCTCATATTTGTCTGATAAATTGAAAGATGCATCAAACGACATGTACTTATACTATAATTCAGCTGAATTTCACTTTTTACTTCTGCATCGACTCAGTAGGCCTAATATATGTGACACATCGGAGGCGCGCGTCGCACTATAAACAAGTTTACATACATGCATCACTCTAGATGAACTACAGATGAATCCTGTCATCTTTCTCAACCAAATCAAACGCAACATTGCTTAGACTGCGTAAAATTTCAAAGATAACGTTATGAGTTATAAGTGCTATAGTCGTACATATTCATATTAAAGGCAAGTGAAAACAAAAAGAAACTATTAGTTAATCAATCCATCTCTTCAAAAAGTAAACAAAATGGATTTGGTACGTCACGTGTGACAACGCGATTACAGCCTTGTATTAGTTGTATCTCGTATTTACACCTTGGTTGTGGGGTCACATTCATAAAATGGACTTTGCACGGGTACATGCCTCGCCACAAGCGTCCTAAGCAGTAAAGAATGTAAATGTTTACCTGTTTCACATAAATGTCAGGTTAATAGACCGGTTAGTAAACAGCAAACAGGCGCTCGTACACAGAGGGCACGTGCCCTGATAACTGCCATTAACTTGGAAGTCTCGATTCCAACAAATTAGAGTAGACTCAGAAAGGGAGGTTGAAAAAGCTTTGTAAACCGCAAAATAAATTCTGCTACTACTACTACTACTACTACTACTACTACTACTAGTGACAACAATTATGATTACCAAGTGAACGATACCGGTAGGTACATAGCGCTAAATAAATGAATAACAAAAGATAATAGCTACAGTAAAATATAAAGGCACCAATGCTCTTTATTTGCTCTATTATATTATTCAAACAATGACTGCTGACGAAATACAAAATTACACCATCCATCTTTGCCTATATGAAGATAGACTTTTAGCAAATCTATGTTTCATTTATTGTTGTTCTTCGCGAATAAAGCCTCTCATCACGCACCTTAGGTAAATCCAGGGTGTATTTTGTAGCTTCAAGATGATTGTAATAGAGGTGATTCTTGTACATATATTGGATATTAATAGAAAAACAATTAGTACATAAACACTTATAAATATCATCGTAAAATACATGAAACGTGTATTTCACGATGATGTGAGTAATGCAAACAAAATAATGGCATTAATAATAATAATTATAATAATTTCCATCATTCTAAGGACAAGCCATGATTGACAGGTCACTGGTAAGGGCAGGGGTTGGACAATTGAAAAATTGTAGATAATTTGATATTTGAATATGGATGAAGAATAAATACAAAAACATAACAGTGATAATGTAGACATTTTTTAAAAATGCATTTAAATGCATTTTGCCTTTGTGAATCATTGTGATAGTTGCACCAGAAAGTGGCATGAATACTGTCACAACTATCACATTGTCTTCAACCATGGCTGTCAAAATAAATGAAAAAGTTAAATGAGACTTTATTGAACAAATTGAAAATACATAAAATAGTAAGCTTCAAGGTTGTTATGCCACAAATGAAACAATTTTAGTGAGGTCAATTGCCTATGCAGGCATCCCACTTCGTCCCTGGCGATCTTATCACTTGCTTAGCGTCCATTGGCGCGTTTAAGATCTTATCCACTTTCAATGTAAAAAAAATGATACAATTAAGGGTCATATTACTTTTTGAACAAAACTAATTAAGTTATTTAAGTTAAAACATGTATATTGTGCCTTTGAGATTTCTAAAGTAGGCCTACATTGTAGGCCTGTATGTGGGACGGAAAATGAATTATACAGCATCAGTAAGGTAAACGCTTGCATGTATCGATCAATTTAATTGCAGAGCATGTAGTGATTGGTTTTTAAAAATCGTTGTCAATTTAACTTATGAATGAAAGGCGACCGAGGAGATAATACCTCTTCATTTGGGGCGATAAGGATGACTTGGCCCACTTAATCGCGGATACGGGTACTCTCCAAAAGGTATAGCAATCACAGTGAAAACTGGCCTGGTAGGACATAATATTGGTGGTCTATTGGGGTGGCCTCCATGCCGATTAAAGTCGTCTACAGGAGACGGTCTTGGCAAGAGTGTTCTTCAACCAGCAGTTGCAGTAACACTCGTATCTTGTACTGCGGGTTTTATCTTCTATTGTCACCTGAAAACAAAATATAAAGAGAATTTCATAAATTAACATATTAAAAATATCATTTTGCACGTCTCTTAAGGGATTATTACAGAGGGTAGCCATCTATGGAGGTCACGGGGGTCCGATGGCAAGCACAGATACCAGAATAATTGCGACAACAGCCGTTTTGGTGATAAAAATATTTTATTATTTTTATTAGTTGCTTACAATGTATTTATTGTAAAATATTGATCTCATACAAAGATGAGTTGTCCCTTTCAAGTGTGCAATACATTCATTTTCTAATGCGGTCTTAGGAGTTATTAAAAAATATTCGTGCATATACTTCTAATAAAATAAGTTAATAATGGTCAAAGTCAACTTAATCTTTTTCACACTCTCATAAGACTGTATGAAAAAGTTTTTTCTGGATCATCATTTGACTTTCGTTCGACGCCTCAGGTCATACTAGTCATTGTGTTGTCTGACTTGGACCTTTTTTTCACAACTTTTGCAGTTTTTTAGTTTTAAACGTATACTGAGGCCAAATGTTGTATTCTGTTACAACACTTGCTTGGTTTGATACAAATATTTTGCCCACTTCAACTTTAAGAATTGTTTGCCCTTACCCTATCTAGTTTCCAATCGGAGCCAAAACCAGTGCCATCTTGACGAATATTTATCTTACTCAGATTGCTCTCGTTCGGCAAATACAGCTCCATGGTATCCACACTGGGTGCAAATAATTATTGCAGTTAATGACTTTGTAATTAATAATTTTGAAGAATTTGAAAAACATTATTAGTCATTGGTCGGCAACTTATTAGCAGAACATCATTACGCTTGAGAAGACAAGATCATCCCAACAACAACAACAACAACAACAACAATAATAATAATAATAATAATAATTATTATTATTATTATTATTATTATTATTATACTGAAAGCTATTATGATTTTTATCATTATTATTAGCTTTATAAAGATATGCACGGTGATTTATGTAAATGATTTTTTGTGGCCCTCTTGTTGAGAATACATGTCAAAATAATTTGATTACCACTACAATTTTCATTCAACAAAACGAAACAAAGTGCGATTATGTACTTACGACTTCCTCTCAAATTCTCCCTGGACTGGGAATTCTCCAGAATTCACGCCATTTGCCCAGAACAATTCCATATAAACCTTGGCATCGGTGCCAGAAAACCAAGAAGAACTGGTCCTTACTTGAATCACAAAGTCGTCCACTGAAATGAAATTGCATAAAATGTGCATAACGAAATGATAAAAAGAAATATCGGACTTACAAAATGGAAGATGAGAAGATGACGTGTTTTTTGTAAGAGTAGCATGGAGGATTTATCGTGCTTACTCACGTTTGACAGATTAACATAGGTATCCTAACAGAAGAATACAAAAATACTTTTAAATATTACATAACTTACTTCTCCATGCAGCTTGTGGACATCCGTAGAACAAATTAATCTTGTCGACATCAGTTGCAGACAAGTCGTCATTCCCGAGCGACATGGATGGGTTGGCTTTTGCCTGTATCGTTTTCTGTCCGTTTGCGCTGAATTCAGTATTTCTGTAGTGCATCAGAGACTGAAAGTCGTACGGTTGGCCCATGGTTGTTACTTCCCAAGATCGTTTCTTTGCAAATTGGCTCGACATTCCTAAAATATGAAAAAAAAAAAAAAAAAAACACTGAAAAATGGTAACCTTTCTCTATGAAACCGTGCTCCCCAAGTACTAAAGTTGTGCTTATTATTTGACCTTCCGTGTCAGATTTTCGCCACTTATTTTTATCAACCAAGAGTATATTCAAACCAGCTAGCCATACGGATTTTAAAATATAATTTTTTTATAATATCATAAGAAATACAAACTGCATGCTTACTTCTTTTACTTACCGGATTTGATATTTCTATAATTGATGGTGACGTAATTATCTCTGTCAGGTCGACTTTGTTCGTGGAAAAATCCAACCGCATGAAGTATTTCGTGCAGCACAGTGCCTTTGCTGAAGCATCCGTTCCCAAGATTCAGTGTCTGCATGCCACCTTGTTTACCATAGGACGAAAAGCAACTGAAAACAAAAAACAAGTATCGTGATTCAAATTCTGGTGCCATACATGTATACATATAGCCTACAGTTTAGTATGTGTTATTCCTTGAATCTTTATGTCGTTATTAGATTATCCTAATAATGCAATTTCTGGATATTGTCTTTTTTAATTAAAACAGAACATAATGCATCTGTACACTCTCAACACATTGATAACACGTCCAATTTTCTTAAAGTATGCAAAATTCTCCGTTTTTCAAGTTGAGCGATTTTGATGTGGCTGTAAATAGCATCTATGACGATTACCTGCTACCACTTCCAGTTACTTTAATATAGTCCATCTGATTTGTCCTGGCTTGAAATTTGATGCAAGTTAACATCCTCAGACTGTTAATCGCTAATTGGAACGCATAAGAAGCTGAACCACCTGCAATTGCAACAAAAGGAATGGATCGGGCGATTTTGAGGTGTTAGCCGAGTAGTTCTTACAAAATTAAGTAGATCCAAGAACAATGAAGACCCACAAAACACACACTTGTCGTTCTGTAAGGTGTATAGTGGGCGTATGATTATCTTAAATACTAACTTGGCACTACTGGCTATGTATTTACATGTACATTCGTATGTTAACTTTATACAGTGGATTTACCTATAATTATTCAAGCCACATTCACCCGGCAGAATTAACTTACCGGCAGCCATGGTATAGGGAATGATGACATCATTACCAGACTTTCTCCACTTCCTATTAGGCCGTGACGTCATCTGTCTCTTCTCCGCTGGTGCATCACTGACGTCATCTCTAAGCATTGCTAGCAGCTCCTTGTCAACTAATATGTCGCCTTCGTGGAGGTCTGGAATAAAGCAAATCGTTTTCCATCTCGTAAGAAAACGTCTGGCCGCTATTTGGGTCGTTGTCGAGCGGTAAAATTCATGTACTTAAGACAAATGTGATGAGATTTTGTAAGTTATGTCAATTAAAAGGACACAAAAGAGGATTTTCGCGCCAAAATTGATTTATCCCGGGGTTAACAGTACTTTTCCGCGATTTACCAACCAACCTTAAATCTAGATCTATCATTCCCGGCACTCGCCATCGCTCTGTAACATTTTTGGAAAATACAATAAAAGAAAACTCTTCGTGCCGGACACGCATAAATCAACCCGGCAACTTTTTGTGGTGGCATTTGCCTTCGCTTTGAATTGTTAACTAGACACAGCGCTGCAATACATAGTCAGAGATTATAGGGTTTGAATCATTGAACTTAAAAAATTGCTTTCATGTTACTGTGTTAACAATCAACCCTACCTCCTTCTTTCAGGGAATCCAAATAGCGCTTATACTCGGCTTGTCTTTCTAGCTCTTGGTTCCTTTCAAGTTCATTCTCCAGCAGTGCTACGACATTCGCAACTGAAAGAACAATCACACATGTATGTGCAAATATCTTAAACTTTGTAAAAAAAGTGCAGATAGGTAGCTCCTAGTATATGGATGCCGCCAGAATGGAACACATGGCACAGAAATGCTGTGAAAAGAATTGCAACATGGTTATTATTACATTGGCATGCTACCTACCTTCATCTCTTTTCTCCTGGTCCCCTCCAGCATCAATTGTTAATTCTTTTTTCAGTGCTAAAAGCTTTTTCAGCTCATCTGAAATTTGAAAAATTTGTGTTATTACTACTTATCAAAAATTTCGCCATGAAACAATAATTTCAATGCAATGTTTATCAAAGAGAAAAAACACGTTTTTCTTTTACATATTAGATGGAGTTCAATCCCAACCTACCTGCGTCTAATCTGTCAGAACTTGACGAGATGGGTGTAGGATGACCACCATGGCTCAGAAACACAACCAAACAGAGGTGAAGAAAGACCTATAATAATATTAACAATAATAATAATAATTGCTTTCCTCGCTCTCCAAAACAACACAGCCTTCAGATTTTAAACACTTTTGAGTGAAGTCGCAACATTGAAACACGAAATAAACGCCAAGGGTAGCATTATTGTACCATTGGTAGGATATTTACCTAGATTACCCTACAATCTCCATAGGTCTTTCATTCTTTCAAATACGTTAAGATATAATTAGTTGACTTACCCCTTTCATTTTGATGACTAACGGTTGTGATGCGCCTGAAAGTAGTAGTATAACGAGGATATCGAAAATCCCACAGCTCCGGGATTTCAAATTTGTACAATTATTGTGCAATTTGGCCCATTGCAGAATATGAATTAGATACGGCCTTTATTTAGTGCTTGTCTCACCCATTCCCGATAACATAGCAGCCATTATAAGGACACATACAGCTACCAAACAAATATCGAAATTAACTCTAGTTTCATGAAGAATACATATACGATGATTGAGTGCACTAGTATTACTTTACTGATTATTTTTCACTGCTTTCTTTTTCGATGAAATAAACCCACGTTGTACCAATCAGGGGCGGATTTAGGGCGTCTTCTGGGTCTTCCGGAAGACGGTCAGATTTTCAAATTTACACGGACGGGTATCTAATTTTACTCTGTCGGAAGACGGTCAGAAATGGAGGATGGATCAACAAAGATGATTTGGAAGACTGTCAGAAAATATTTCTGGATCCGCCCCTGCCAATTATGAATAAGTTTGCACTATATGTACAGGGTTCGTTTTATCCCCCCTCCCAAGACAAATTTATTTTCCTGTTCGCCTTTCCTCCTTTTTTCCATTTTTGTGTGTATATAGGTGTGTCCCTGTGTGTACCAAGGCCCAGATATAATGTACACTTCAATGAAATGAAAATGACCAAGGTCCATTTTCACACAAAAATGTCAGTCCAAATCTGATTTACACTTCGAATTCTCCACTTCAAAGTCCAAGAAAAGTCTGTAATAGTTCATTAAATTTAACCATCAATATAAAACATCTGCCATCAGTCAGTCGCAATCAGCCCCATAATCACCCTTAAATCTTTACCCACCTTTAAGAGGACTACTAGTGATTTGCTTAATTAGGTCAAAATTGACTAAGTTTCGGTCCTTCGTAGAATCTTAAAAGGTCAACTTTCGCCTTGAATTTTCTTAAACTTAGCTTGTACAGTAAGCTGTGTCCATCCAGTCCACTTTAAATAAATTTGATGTCATTTTAAGATATTGTTTTAAATTAAAACGTTGCTGTACAATTACGTCGACATGAACTATTGCACTGATTGTGAAAATTTCTATATACCTCTGGATGGGGTCTGTGTGCCATGCACCATCGATGATCATTCGCACTTCGAGTAATGTCTCTAAACTAAATGAACAACCATCTAACAAAACTTCAGCGCAAATGATAAAATCGCAACTTACGACAGTGATTGGGAAAAGCAGTTGTTAAGTTAAAAATCTTCCCTTTTTTACTTCAACAAGATGGACGTCACTCGGTTTTTGTGTTTTCGAGTCCACGTAAGGAGAACTAAGAACGGCACTCGAGCTCTTTCTCTCCTCTGCCTGTCTTTTGTGGCGCCGTGTTGACGTTACCAAGACCCACATTTAAGCCGAACAGAAAAGTACAAAAAAAGCTCCTCGACAAATAAACAGTGTTTGCTTGACAATACCTGGGACAGGTAACGGCATTTACCCTTACTTGGCCTAAATATAGAGATCTATATATAGCTCATAAAGCCTCATTGGCCACAGTTATGAAGAGCTACACTTAAGTTTAGAGCAGACGACCCAAATAAGAGATGAACAATAATTATACGAACATGACCTAAAACAAAATGGATTGCACTCTGTTACTTTCTTATACGAGCTGGTTCGCACTTGAACTCCCCCCTCCCCCTCCATTCTGCTCTCTCTCTCTCCTTCTCTCGCTCTCTCTCTCTCTCTCTCTCTCTCTTCGTACGTCTCCAGTGGTGGTGTAAGGGCATTTTGCAACATTCATTTAACCGATTTTGATCGTTTTTGTGCGATATGGTAAACTAACATGGCAGTCTACGGTCATTGTTGTGGGGTTTTTAGGTTTATTTATTAAATGGGCATTTTACGACACTTGTTTACTAACCAACCAAGGTGACAGTCGAGCGTGTTTTCATCAATGTTGCGTAAAATTAGTGAGAACATTTTAACCCCCCCCCCCCCCACACACACACACTGAACATCACTAAACATCGCTCTATAAATGTTAAGCGATGTATATTGAATGTTGAAAAGGCTGTACATGAATTTTTTAAATCAATGGTGAGGGAGCTACATGTACAAGGTTAATTCTGTTGGTTGAATCCTATGTGCCCCCATCCGCACTTGTACTTTTCTAGAATACAGTGACCCAAGTAACAAAATGCAGATTTGAGAGGTTGTTCATTGTTCCATTTGTTTTGTAAGCTTACAGCAATAAACTGTATATAGCTCATTGTTCAAAGCAAGTATGCTGCTGTCTGCAGTAAGTGCGGTGAGTGTGAACCAGCTAATGTATCGAAGAGAGAGAAGGAGAGAGAGAAGGAGATTGCAGTAAAATGTAAAATGCACCTTTCTTGTTACAACTGAAAGATTTTGTATTCACTGAATTAGACCTGACAGTTGAATCAGATAGACGTAAACGACGCGGTCATTTAACCTACTTTATTTTATTTTAACTTTCAAACATGAAAATGTTGACTTTGAATACGAAATTGCACCTCTGACAGCTGTAAAGAAACAATGACAATATTACCATGAAAATATCTGCACGTTTTTCGAAAAGGAAATATATTACCAATTTATCCAGTTTAAAGGACTAATTAAAGATTTAAAATTATCATTCTGTCTGGGAAATCAGTAAAACCGTTCGCACTTGGAAATCAGTAAAATATCAGACATTTTTCAAAGAAAAATCTGACTTTCGAAACTTAAATGATGGTTTCCAAAATTCATTTTGCGTTAGATATATACAGTTAGCAATATATTTAAGACTTTAACGTCGTTCTTGAAATATTAAACACACTGCCAAGCCCACATAAGTTTCCATATACTGCAACAGGTTGACATACACAGAACAAGATGCAGTAATTGTAGGGTAGCATATTGATCTATGCTGACTTAAGGATCAGGAAAGAGAAAGGTGACAGACAGTTACTGGTGGATCTCCCGGTCAGTTGGGTACACAGTTCCATTGACCGTCAAGATTTAGACACCAACGTAGGTTGACTTTCACAATGGAGACGAAAGAGTCCTCCGCATTTACGAAGTCCGGAACGCCTGTCCACAGAAAGCGAACTTCGATCAAGAAGATTCTCGTTTACGGCATTTGCTTCCTATTGTTTGCTTATTCGGTTATAATTGTATACGTCTCTTTGAGGATGAATGTTCTAACTCTACGACGACGGCTATTAGATGCTCAGGTACAGTCCTACAAGCCTTCTGTTTCTCTTTCTCTCTCTCGAAACGATATTGACACCATAGTTTAATTCAAGTTCGGAGGCAATGGATAGCAAAGTTTTATTTATCCATTTTAGCATTAAATAATTTTATCCCATTATGTCAGACATATAATTTTATAAACGCTATCTCGGTTTTATTAGTAACGAATTCCTCAATAAGATATTTACTAAACAATCTTAGATTATGCATGATTTATTCAGAGAAGCATTATAACTTCTATGCTGGAAACCAATCACTGATACTTTAGCACGAAAACGTAACCCACATATCTTAAGATATTGAAGCATGACTATATGGGCATCTTCTATTATTCATAGCTGCCGCACAGGACAAGGTCTGGGGTTCGCGAAATAAATATTTCAACGCATTTATATCAGCAGCTTAACTCTATTGATTATTTTGTTAATATTAATTGACTTGAAATGAAGATTTAGATTACTATTTGTGCCGGAGCCGAAAAGTTGCGATAAAGCTACCAAAGAAGAATCCGAAAGATTATGACGCAGATTTTAAGGTTCATTTTGGTTTTGGTGAAACTTGATTTGTTTTATTTCAGCTTGCGCGTTCAATGGTCTTCGAGGATGCGTTACACGACTTTGATTATCTACCTCTTCGACACGTCAAGGACAACGTGTTCATTTCCGAAATCAACATGACAGCAGAGGAGTATGACAAAATTGAACAAAGTTTCTACAGGTAAATTATTCACTCAAAATAACGTCCGTTGGAATAAATATAAGGGCATGAGCTGTACAATCTCACCATTGGTAGAGTCTACTAGGGATTTAATGGTTGGTCTTACATAAGTCTACAGTGATAGAAATACGGTTAATCAGAGTACTGCAAAGACAGTTCTGCTTCACTCAAATTACTCTCAATCATATGTCTACTCTAGCTGTTACAAAATTGTATGGAAATCTAATTTTGTAACTGCTAGAGAAGACATCTGGTGTAGAGTAAAGGGGGTAGACTTCCACAGTGTGTAGTGAAATTTGGCCTATCGGTCACAAACGCGTCTTAGAACGCACGTATACACTCGCGCACATAAACAGTCTTTATTTATCGGTCTCTTCTTTGTATACCTTTGCCCTAAATCTTGTGTTCGTAGACACAAACGTACACACACACACACACACATGCACCTTGTATAGACTCGGGGTTTGACCACCACAACATGACCTTAGTTTCCACAAGTAATGCGAGTCTGATTACGTGTCATTTTCAAAAATATTTTGCAGATACATAAGACACCAGCAGTACGAATGCCGTAACCAGACTCGTGCAGTATCTCGCAGTAGCCTGGGCTGGGACATTTGCCTCGACCCGCCTTTCATCCTGGTCCCGGGGCAATGTCTGGTCTACACGTTCAGGTACAGAGCTGGTTGTAACACGCCCCTCCAATACGAACTTACGACTTGTGATTTAGTAAATTCCTCTCCTACTGCCGGCCGTCATACCCATTTCTCGACATGACAGGCTTAAACGCACAAGCACTATACCCTCTACCAGGGTGGCAGATATTATAGGAAAAAGTGAAAAAGCCAGAGATAGTAAAATGACCGTCTATTTATCTGTCTCTATATATTAGACATATCTGTGAATATCCTGTGAAAAGTCAATTTGTGGCCCTGGTAGAGGGTACCAGTACTACATGTACCACTGGTGATCTTGTTTATTCAGAGGACCTATGGATAGGGGTGTGTCCAGATGGATAGTCCTATTAGTTTATCAACCCACTTTTAGTGTTCCATTTGTTGTATACGCTCTTTCGATCGATCAAATTTAACCAACTAAAATGACGAAGTGCAGTATTTTAAACGCACGTTAAGAACAAAGACCACTACTTGTTAAACTTATCTGAGGACAAGTAAAAGACTTTGATCGTATTTTAACAGAAAAATGCCATGGAATAATTTTTAATCAAATCTACCACCTCCTGACGAACCTCACCCCTATTCAAGCATCTTTACACTGTTTTAAATCGCTCTAAATCTTGAAGTCGGTGCATAGAAGGGATGGCGGAATTTGAAAAACATTAAAGTGATAATAACTCTTCGTTTCGGCCAAAAAATGAATTTTCCTGGAGTAAACAACAATTTTCCCACACTTACCAATGGTTAATGAATCCATTTTTACATTCAAAGTTAGTCCCTGGTTTTTTTCTAAAAAGTTTGGTTTTTTGTTAAAATCTCTTAAGAGATTTTAACATAGTATGGTCATCAATGGAGGTCACGTGGTCAAAAGACAAGCTCAGATATCAGAATAATAGCTATAACAGCCGTTTTTGTGGGAAAACAGAATATATTATATTTTTATGAGTCACTCACAATGTTTTTATTGTGAAATACAGATTTCATACGAAGAGTTATTATCCCTTTAAGTTACAGAGAGAGAGAGAGAAAAAAAAAAAACAAGTATTTCGCGGGAAAATATCACCATGGGCAATTTTAAGGGTCGATTCAATGACAACATATCCTGTACAACGGTTTGGCTCTTTTACCCAAATGAATTGCACTCAACAAGGATTTAAGGTAAAAAAAGTGTGTAAATGTATATGCAGATGAGAGTTTTCTCGAAATGTACGATTGATATGCATATATGTGCATGTACTAATATATTAGACTGTCAATAATTTTGTTGAATTATATATTATTATAGATATTATTTCGAGATATTGTTTTATCGTTTTCAGTATACTTACTTGACATTTTCAGGCAATCGGGGTTTGTCCAGACTGGCTTTGAGCAATACATGACAAAAAAATTTAATTGCAAAGTGCTGGCATTTGATCCAAGGTAAATGGTCTGCGCATTTGCATCATAGGTCACATGACTTTCAGGGTTGAGCTGTTATATTGATTTTTGCTGATTATTTATCTATTTATTTATCATAGCTTTTTCTTATCGAAAATAAATCACACAGCTTAGGCCAAGTGAATATAATGTGTAATTCAAAACGTGGTTAGATAGTCTATTTGTATTTTGGAGTTTGGAGTTCGACTAAGAAATGATCCAATAATAAGAAAATTGTTCAGGACCCCAAGAAAATCATCTCGTTCATTTAGGTACACGAATGTTCAATGTTGATTTTAAGCAATGTGCAGTGACGGTACTTTCCACGTGTATGTACAACATACATATTATTATTATTATTATTTACCAAGAACAGATTTTTACAAATAAAATTCTATAATTTGAATGCCATAAATTAATTCTTGTTGAATACGTTCATCAAATAAAATTTATTAATTGCTTTTCTAGGTTAAAGATGAAGAAGCAGTACGTTAAGCTACAGGAAAACGTTATCTTGTATAAGACAGGTTTATCGGCAGAGAACAAACCGAGCGGAAATGACCAGGACGCCGCGTGGGCAGACAACACGTGGGATCTTAAGACGCTGGGCACAATACTACAGTCGACGGCACCTAGCAATGTATGTAGAACATAAATCGGATGGCAAATTCTTCTTTTATACGTAACTGAATGCTTTTGTGTTTTGCACAAGACGCAGTGGAATAAGGGAAAGACCCAGTCAAAGAGTTGTAAAATGTAACTTCATTGTGGCGCCTCATATACAACCGTTTGGGTTGACTGACTGGCACAAAGAAAAATTTGAATTATTTAGTTTTGAACACATTTATAAGATGATGTGTAAAGTATTATGCTGTTTAACTTTTATACACTATCCTGTGCACAGAAACGGATTTATAACATATTCGTTTTCTTGACTTTTATTTGTAGGCAATCATAGACTACATGAAGATCGACATACAGGAAGGGGAATGGAGTGCTTTATTAACAGCATTCCAAGAAATGTCATTACAGAATGTAAAACAATTGTGTATAGAGATTCATATTGTCGGGAAGTTCTCCAATTTTCTAACTCACGAACGCATCAGTGCACTGAAGACGTTGAGAGGTATAGGATTCAGAATATATTCGTCAGAGGACCTTGGTAGGCGCAAAGTGTCGCCGTACACTGGCAGAAACGTGCACTCACGCTTTAGGCTTTATTTCATAAATAAGCATTTCTTGGAACAAGTGCGCGATATGAAAAGAGACAATTCTTCGGACACGTTGTGGTAAACGTGTCTTTTTTGTGTGAAACTGACTGAACCATTGGAGTGATACGAGTTGAGGGGATTACCCTCCGATAGCGTTGCGCTTCTGGTTTTTGCAGCAATAAACTTGCTGATTGATTTGGGATTGCTAAACATTGACGCACTAGTTAAATGTCGACGTATAATGCCGAGAGAGAGAGAGAGAGAGAGAGAGAACCGCTGGGTTGAAGACTGTATCATGATGTCAATATGGCTCTTTCAGAAATAGTGTAATATATGTTCTGTCAACGTGACACCGTACCAGGGGCCCGTTTGACGAAGCAGTAACTACTGAACTATCTCGCTAACGAGAAAACTTTAGGGGTGTTTCACGAAGCAGTCGTTAACTCATCGCTAATTTCAGTCGTAAAGTTCGGTCGTTAGTTCTCTCGTTACTCACCGTAGTCTCGAAACAGTTTACCGGAAGTGGAACTCTTGCGTAAAAGTGTCGCGAAAGCTCTAACTCTTCAGTTTCCGGCGGCTGGAAATGCATAAGAACGTCTGCTTTGAGGTCGTCGTAAAGGATCTCCACCACCTTTTTGCCGCTTTTTTTTTTGTCACAGCTAGGTGCAACCTCTCCTAAATTGCATCATCGCGTGTATATTCTAATAGATTCTGCCTATCATGAAAACGTCGTAGTCTACGTTGCCGTCTGGCGGTACGGATAGCAAGAAAGGTCGTCGCCATATTGGATACAAAGACAAACGACAGACAACGGTAACTAAGCTGCAACCTTTCTATTTCATTCATTACGCATGCGTACGATGAAACTCTAGAGTTAGCGACTGGTCTGACCAGGGGGGGGGGGGGGGATTGGAGAACAGACGAAAATCGGTGCGCGCGCAGGATGTCATCCATAAAAATAAAAAAGTGTGGCCTAACAACGACACAATAAAGAGCGAGAGAACTAGCGATAGCTTCGTGAAACGGCACTCATAACTAGCGAGAGGCTAACTACCGATCTCTAACTAACTACTGCTTCGTGAAACGGGCCCCAGATGTGTATCTAGAAAGTAGTAGGTCTACTCCCACGCACAATCAAATCCAACAGAAAAGAGAAAATTCACCAATTCGGCTATTCCACACGCAGAAAATAAAGTAATATAATAAGGGAATAGACAAATAATGTGTAAATAAGAAGAAGCACTGCAGTTTAAACTCTATACATGTTTCATGCAAACCTACTTTTGCTTATTTTTTCTGTAATATTTCTGTTGTTAAAAGATAAAAAATACGCTACTTTTTCATAGTTGCATAGTTCAACGTGTACCGTGCAGACGGACACGCAAGAAACGCATAAGACCTCGTCAGTGATTTGCTGTCGTGTGACGCAAGGCATTATAATGAAAGTAATGTATGATTAGGACTACATAAAACAGTCATAAAACAGCTAGCAACTGATTGCAGCCTGACATACAAAATGCTCCGAAAACTGTAAATTAACCGACAAGTTATTCACGTGTTACGTTTAAACTTTGTCAATTAGACAAGAAAGGCAGAAAGCGTAGAGCAATGCTAGCATAAATGTTTTCAAAAAGCCCACGTGTCGGGAAGCGCTGCCCGGCACTGGCAGTACATCCACCGCTGACAGGGAGCGCCACTCACTCCACTGTAGCCTGGCATCGGCATGGCAAACCGTCACGTGATCTGGCAGGGTTGGTCCGTAACCTGGCCAAGGCTCGAACCCTTTGCCCATGCGCCACTTCAGTGTATATCGCTCTCGAATGAGACTGAGGCATTTGAACCTAGGTCGACAGCCATTGTCAAATGTGGCCAAAACAACCGTACCCTCTAACTGCTGTACCCTTTTGACGTCGATACACTGAAATTGGCCATAGCCCGGAATTTTAGCAAAGGATCCGTTGATCCTTAAGACCTCGTTCTGTGCATTTTTCCAGGTACCTTGAAGGTCGCTCTCGAAATCACACGGGACCGTCAAAGCGTTATACGTGGCATTGCACAAATTGCACGTTTTGAGACAGCGATTCGCAAAATGGTTATACAAATCTCTGAGACAACTGGGGTTTTCACAGTCAGCCTGGTCATTTTCGCAAAGATCATACTGACGTTTACGTTTCACTGAGAGTTCTACATAGAGATTCCTCGAAATGGAATTTGCTAGATTGAGATTAAGGGTGGCGTCAATTATGGCTCCCTTAAAAAGAAAAGCTTTGAACGAGTCGTCGTGGACTGTTGAGAATCGTAGGGTGTAAAAGTCACTGTATCGAGAGAGTAGCCGAAATGTGTAGTGGCTTTCTTTCCAGGTCGCAATACATTGTAACTGCAGATAACTCTTCAGAGAATCGGCAACAACACCATACGGTTCGCAAAACCCATCCTTAAAATCAATCCTTACATTCTCCCCGGGTAAACACTCCAAGTCCAGAGCCAAGTTCTGACATCTTTTGGCGCGGATTTCTGCGGCAGCGGCACCTGTCTCGGTATAAAGGGTTTGGTCCGAAAGAGAGAACGGATACCCGCCATCCGCTGGGCACGCTGCTGTAATGCTTTCGTGGTCATATGTGTACCTAACTATCGGCCAAGGGTCAAGACTAATAGACCCACATAATGTCGCACCTGTATCCGGCCTTTCAGTTGTTGCTGCAGACAGTTTCACTTGAAACACAAAGTTTGTTCGATTCACAAGCTGCATGCAACGGTAGCGGAGAGGTTCATTTTCGATCTTTTCGGATATTATATAAGATTGCCCGTCCACGTAGGTAGCGTTTGATTCAGACACCACTTCTACGCAAGTCCGCACATAGGAGTCAAAATCAGAAGAGTTGAAAGGCCAGCGTCGGTTGTTCAGAGTGAAAATAGCTTCCATTTTCGTTGATGTGAATCTAATTTCTAAGCCAGCCCTTTGAGATATACTACTTCCATCGGGGTTGCTATAGGCAACAGGTATATACCTGTGGTACCAGGTGCGCGGTATCTGGACACTCTCTGGAAACACACACACCGTAGAAGAGTAGGAAACGACACTCAGTAAGAGGGCTACGAGAATAATGTTCATGTCCATGGTCACTGGAAGCAAAAATATTAGAACCAATGAGAAACGTGTGATGATAAAGAATTTTTTTATTATTTAGGACCGATTGAACAATTTTAGAAGCAATGACAGGCCTATACATGTATAAATATGCGGTGAAATGGTAATTACTTATTTGATAAAATGAATTTTGTATGTATAGATTGTAGATATAAAAATAGCTGATAACATAATGTAGGGTTACGTAATTGTTATTTGATAGGACATAGAACTTACCGTGGATTTTACCAATCTTAATAATGTATGGACGACTAACAATAAATGACTTTCAAGCAAGAACTTTTGAAAATGGGGCGCCTCATATAATATTGGAAACAAATGAATATTGCCGATTAAAGTTCGACAGGGACGCTCAGCATTTTCATTTCCTTTCATGTTGCAACAGAAAAGTTTGCCTCCGATTACGGTGTAGGAGATATTTAACGTAGCTTCACCTAACAAAGCGCTCTTACACACACTTAAGCACGTACGCACACGTATTTACGAGAGTGAGCCTACCTTCGCAGTGTTTTCTATAATTTCAAAATTACTTTTGCTACCTGGCATGAAAGGACTAATTTTATTTCGAGCACCGACATAGCTTTAAGTGTTCAGTGTGATTAAATGTGGTCAGGTGGCATTAACTGCCGGTGCTTCAAACCATAAACGTGATTATAACAATATACACTAAGCTACATTTAGACGTTATACGCCTATATAGGATGGCTAGAAAAATGTTAATTTTTTTAACACTTGACAGTTAAATAGCTTTAACAGTTTTGAAGATATTGCAATGAAATTTAGGATATCTAATGGAATGTTTTAATAAATGCTGAAAATCCCATGATTCTGCCTTTCTTTGTTTGGGCACACCGAAAAAATAAAAATCATATAAAGTCAAAAAAAGATCCTTAAAGCCGTTTTTCAGTTCTAGATTTCTAGTTTTTTAGTCTCTTGTGAAATGATAAAGACTGATTAATTTTTCCGACACTAAAAAAAATAAACTAAAGCTCATAACGGATTCATAAGAGTGAAACTTTCTCAACGACTTAGGATAATGTAAACTTCGCTGCTGAGGGAAAATGGTGAAATTTCCAGTAAGATTGATTTCTTGTTTGTTGGCTACATTTCTCAAAACCCCAAATTGGCCGTTTAACTACAAATGCCGCATTAAATAAGACTCTAGCCGGACAAGGCAGCCAACAAGACAGCTTGACATGTAATGACGTCAATCAGTCTATTTTCTTTCCAAGTTAGCTCCGTTATGGACAGTTTTTAGCACGTGGGCCTACTTGTGGCTCTGCATGCACCCCTCCCTTTTGCTATCCTCTGGAACAACCAGTACTGTGTCATTAACTTTAATATTATTCTCTCACTATATCAACTGTATGTATACACATCAAGCAAATAAGTAGGCGTTGTCGCTTAATTACACCGTCTATACTTTAATGTATTAATCACATAATCTTCTGTTATCTCCCAGGTTGATAATTTCTTATAGGCCTAGCACCTGGACTAAAGTGCATGCATGTCCATATGCAATGGTCAGTTCTGGTGTTAACTATACCTGTATGCGTGTGACCCCAACGATTGATAAACACATTCACGTGTCAACTTACTTGTACGCATGGCCAAGCGTTCGCAGGTGGTAGCTGTCCACGTTTAGCGTCTTCGCATTGGATTTATTAAGTGGCGCTTCAGCTATCCGATGGTTCTTTAATAAGGTGAGTGTGTCAGCTTTTGTGCGAATTTACAACATTGATTCAGGCTTAAGTGGCATTTACCGGCCTACATGCATCCAAGTCGGTGTATAAAACTGGCTGTGTTGATAGATTTACTATGGAACTGGTGTAGGGAATGGGCAATGTCAGTCAAGGTCAAGACTGCATATTACCAACGGTTAATGTTCTTTCTCTCGTATACTTGTAAATGTGCATAATTTAGGTATGACTCATACCGGTGAAGATTTTTTGGTTCATCCTTCTTTATAAAAAGAGTCATGGATATGTTATTTATAGCACTTGTGGTAGATTTAGATAAAGGTATATGTGGCATGCGGATGAACGGTGGCTCTGCATGGTTGCTTGTACAGTAAGGTTGTACAGCTACTGTAGATATTTTGATTGACTGTGCTGTTTAGAGGCGACAATTTGAAACGAAAATGACTTTTTTATTTACCATTCATAAACATCTATACGCGTGATTTCCATGGTCTTAAAAGTAACGAACAGTTAAGTAATGAACAATGCGTTCAATAAAATATAGCTATCATCGGGCTGTACATAGCGTAAATAGGTTTTTAGATATGATACTGAATTTTCAACTGTTGGAAGTTCTGAAGAAATTCCAGGAAACGGTACATTTGTGAATAAGCATTTAGACGGAATCATATTTGCTTTGGAAATGAATACAGCCGAAACAGCAATGTATCTCAGACATTTTTTATCTATCACATGCATTCCATTTGTAGTGTTTACCTTAGGGACAGAGTAATCGATACAGCATTGCACAGTAACTGTGGAACAACCAATAGGGCTTCCATATATCAAGTGTTTTCATTCTTTTAGGACATATCATCATCTAACCAATGACGTATGAAATGCGTTTCATATGTATAATATATATTATACTCCTTTCAGATACAATGGTCTCTCTCAAAAGCATACGGTTACTGTTGGTGATATTTCAACTATCGCAATCAGATGGCGCGTGCAGATTCCCAAATATTTTATGGGACACCACATGGTTCCACAGGTTCATCCCACCAAGCTTAGACGATGATTACCTCGGCAAGTTTGGAATGAAGATCACATTTTCATCGGACAGAATGACTGCAGCGAATACCATGAATCCTGATTTGCGCTCAGGTTGGTGGCCCTTCAACGAGACGGAATTCAATCCTTACGACAGGACGTGCGAGGAGCTGGTCATGGGGAGGGAGTCGTCATACGTTGACGGGCAAACATACTTTGTGTCTGAGAGCCTGAATAGATCGAACTCAGGATTTAGATGCCTTCGGATATATAACCGAACTTCCAATATTTTACAGATTGGAGTTTCAGGGTTAATATCCCAACGCCCCAGCCAGTTGTCAGAGGCGTGCTCGGAGTCCAACTTGCAGGTTGACCCATGGGTTTTAATGCGGAAGTTAACGCCCTTCAGTGATCCACTCAAGCAAGGTGACTTTGACTGCCCTGCATCTGGTGGTTATACGTTTGTTCTTGGGAATGAGACAGTGTACGATCGCAAGTCAATATTCCGAGATGAGCGTTGCCATAATCTGGCACTCGAACTCCAGTGCCTTCCCGGAGAATATGTGACCATGGACTTTAAGGACAATATTTGTCGCCCTTTTGGTTTACGTTTCACATTTGGCAGTGAAAAAAATCTGTTCACTCTCTGTATTGGGGTATGGGAGGAAGGCGGGTACGTCTTCAGATTCATGTTGGGGAATGATGCAGAAAGTGATTTTTACACTCTCCGGTTCCCAAAAAATCCAGGTATGGAATTTGATGCTCATCTTATCTATGGCGCTCTCGTGGATATGAGCCCCGATGTAGAGGAGGCTGCAAGGATTTCAGAACGCATGGTTATCCGAATGTCCCTCTCCCGCGACATTAAGAAGGACAACTGCGCTGACGACCTGGCCGATTGCTCCTCAGCAGTTTGCTCAAGTGGACTTTTCGGGGTCTATGGCAACGAGTGCCTAAAAAGTTGCAAACACTGTAACAGCAGCTTCAACAGGATAACTCCTGGAGGCAACTTTGACCAGCTTTTTCAGGGTACCTGGAAAGATGCTCAAGGATTGAAAGTGATTATAAACGAATCTTCTCTCCTTCTGCCTGAAGTGGGCACATTTAAAAACATAGGGTTTGAAAAAGTCACCGATCTGGACGGTTTGGTTATTATGACAACGTTTGACAATGGTTGCCGACCAAGGTACAAGTGCATTGACCTAGCTCGGTCTGGTAACATACTAAAATGGCGCATGGGCCAAAGCTTTGAGCCCTATCCGGGTTATGGTCCGTCCTTCCCAAGCCATTTTTCAGTTTGTTCCCTGCATCGTGGTCGTTGGGGAAAATGGCTGGATCTGACCGCAGTCAGTGTCAGAGTGGTATCTCATGGTTCCCTTCTCTCGTCATCTCGATTTTTCTACACACTTTACTTAACAGTCGTGCTTTGTTATCTTCATTTTTCAAGATAGAATAATTGCTAATTACTTGGCAATTCGGATAAAAATCCATTTAGCTGTATAAAGTATTGAAAAGACAAAAACATTTTTATTTGCATTTGTTTGTACATAGCGTTACAATCTCGCCTTCTCTCCGTCAGGAAAGGGAATACCAATGTCTGTATTTTCATGCTCAGCCTTTGAATCTAAATTTAGTCATGCTAAGCTTTTGTTTAAACAGTAAGTAGCCTGCATCTTGGATTTCTTTCCAAAAATATTAATGTTCATTGCTGTTCTACCTTCCTGCGTATGTGATATGATTAAAATGCAAGTCCATTGCATATAAAATGCATTTAATTGTATATTTTATACATGCACATTATACAATATAACGTACATAAATTCTCTATTAAAAGTATGATGGTTTAACTATTTCTGAGCTAACATATAAAACATAAGTGAAAAGCATAACTGAAAATACAGTATTCTTACAAAATTTCTGCATAAAAAGTGTAAAATGGTTACAACCTCTGTGTACATTGAAATTTGTAGAAGATATCTCTTTGGAAGCACACAGTTTCAATCATAAAGAATTTTTATTGTTAAAATCACACAATTGCACATAACACCTTTAATACTTTTGATTCCATTGGCTCTCAATCTGAAGTAAAGTTTAAAAAAGAGAAAATATGATGAGATAAAAAAAAGTAATAGGGACCTATCAGATCGAGAAGAGCCGAGTGCTAGCAACGCTGCAACCTAAATATGGCTGACCTACGTGAATGAAAGACTGCTTAATCCTGTAATGGCCTCTTTACCTCTCACATGCCTCCCCACGCGTCAAATCTTGACCGCTTGAATTGAGCCGAGATTTAATTACTGTGCCCCTGCAGGGATGACATGTGGGGAAGCGTGTGAGAGGTGGAGAACCCATTACAGGATTAAGCAGTCTTCCTTTCATGTAGGTCCGCCATATTTAGGTTGCTGCCTTGCTAGCACTTGGCTCTACTCCATCTGAATGGTCCCACTTATGTAACTTCCTAAGCAGCTGCCTCCTAACAAGTCACAATTTCAATATATTGTATCAAATAAAACCCACGCTTTCATATTTTTCTAATCAGTTTCTCAAAAAAAAAAAAAAAAAAAAAATTAGCTAACAACTTCCCATATATCCATGACAAACACTGGGGAACTATGGTGTTGTGAACCCAATCCTATGGTTTAAATATTGGTACCAAACGGTGACTAACAACTATGTTAACACTATTTGTAGTTAGATACTTAAACACCATTATAAATTTGTAAAGCACCAAAGTTAAAATGGAGATAACATGTATATTGTGGCAAATGAATACACTTTTTAAAGGTAAACAGATACAGAGCATAGTTAATCAAGTACTTACTGTACACATTCAACACTTAAATCACATTTGTAAATAATGCTAAATAACAATTAAATAATGATAATAATAACAAACTGCTGTTGTTGGTTACTAGTGAATTCAAGATGGTAGTCTTTGTTGTTGTTGTTGGTTAATAGTGAATTCAAAGATGGTAGTTAATTTCTTTGCTTTGCTCCATGTATAGACAAACAGACAAATGTCACTTACAATTCTCTGAAAAAACCATTCTGAAAACCAGTCCACACTTTTTTATCCACACCAAGAAAGTAAATTCACAATCAAATCTATTCAATATCTAAATTGGAAATCAAGATA